CTCGTGTTTGGCACGCTATAATCATCTTTGGTTTTGCGCCATAACCTCTCACTCACTCACGTTTTATATACCGTGCAAATTTCCAGTTAACGTAGGCTTACTTCATGGTATAACAAATTTAATGCTCAGCAACATACACAAATAATGTAAAGTGTGAAACTTTTCATCAACAAATAAATTTAAATGCTGGTATATCTAGCTGCTTTGTAACACATTTAATCTAAAAGAATTTAAATGGTTTATACACCATACTAAAACAACCATTTGGAAGTTGAAGAATTGCATAATGATGATGAGGCTTTTGTCCTCCTGAACTGAATGGCAGAGCCTTAGCCAATGCTTAATATCTATTGTGCACATGAATACATTTAGTAAAAACTGTTTATATTCTTTTATTTATTCTTTTATTTTCCCTTGCCTTCTCAGCTTTCTCCAAATTTGACAGCAACTAAGTGTTCTGAGTTAAAGACAAAACCACACAAATAATTCCACTTGTATAGAATATAAAGGCAATAAGAATCTACGTAGAATTTTCTTGCTGTTACCTTCAGATTACTCATAAATTTGAACAGTAGCTCCATTACTAACAGTTAAACCTTGTGCTTTATAAGTACATTTAATTAAAGATGTATGCACAAAAAAATATGCTGCTAAGTACATATATTTTGAAGATAAAAGCACTGGCATGTGTTGAATCAAAATTCAATGTCAACAAAACAAATTTATATTTTAAATTATGACCTGGCAGATCATTTGTTTTTAAAAATGAGACATTCAGTACCAGAAAGTGCTCTAAGAAGTGAATATTAATCTTTTGGGAGCAGGAAAAAGTTCTTATAATAGGAAAATCTTAGAAATCATGCTACTTTAAAAGTGTTAATTTTTTGCTAGGCTTTATTATGCAAATACAAAAAGCACAAATTAAATTTGATGTCTTAGTAAAGTAAGTACGTAAAAATTTGCACCAAAAAATTATTTAAAAAAAATATTCTATTGCTTCTTAATAAATTGCACAGTGAATTTAAAGTCTTTAAAAATCGAGTTTCATTCCCTAAATATTATTTTTATTTTCCAGCTCAACAGGCACTATGAGTATATTGTTCTCCACTGAATGAATGCTTTTTGGAATGCATACCAAAAATGAATGAATGCTTTTTGGAAGTTTCCTTATTGAAGATTTGCAGTGAATTTCATTCTGCAGAATTTATGAATGCATAATCCATTTAAGAATTTTTTGACACTGTTTAAATGTTGGATGTATCTTTACCTACTGATACAGATGAAAAATGTGAAACTTTCATTTAGACGTCGAATATTCCAGAAATCTTCCTTTTTAGTCTTTGAGGGTAATGTTATTATTTGTGAAAGCACTAATTGTGTTAAGCATCTATTCAAAGATTATATTGAGTCGCAAATTCATGAAATTCCCAACAAATCAATAAAAATGGTTGTGTTAGTGGAGACGAAACTGCGTCAATAAAGGAAAAAACAACTGTATGCAGTAAATGTGATTGGAATTCTGCAAAGTTTTGTCCAAGAAATAATAGATAATTAATGCTGCTCTTAATATGCTCGGTTCTGCTTATTAATTGGAGGTTGAATTGTTTGCACACCACTTTATTAGCATCTACAGTTGCATAAGGTATGGTTTTTCATAGGTGGGTGATTCCTTTATCAAATTATCTTAATCCTGGTTGTAGGAAATTTCAGTATATAATCTTTATTACATTAAGAAAAAGATTATGCAGGTAAATTTCCTGTGCTATTATGTGATATAGCAATTATATACGCATAAAAATAAGTATAATTGCATGTAGCTATGTTAGGTAGTTTCTTGAGGATTCTTGTGTCATTATCATGATACTCTTTTTTTTTTTTTTTTTAATATATATATAGGATCTCCTTTTAGATGATTTTCCAATTGTCCGAACTACAGCTGTAATAGGTACATGCATCGCTATGAGTGTAAACTGGGAGCTATTTCCAGAAGAGGTATGTCGTAAAGCTTATTAGTTTATCTGTTACATAAGAGTGATTGTTTGAAAATATTTGTGAAATGAAATGTATAATGCAAACATGCATTCATTTAAAAGTTTGTTGTGCAGGTTTCTGTAACTTGTTGTATTTTTAAATTGTAATATTTTTATATGAACTTATTTATCTGCTTTTTTCCCTCTAGATGTTACGAACGTATTTTAAAATAATAGTGAATGATTTGAGCTATGATTCATCTTCTTCAGATGTGAGATGTGCTGTTGCAAAGGTATTGAATACTTTTATTATATTAATTGAAATGTGTAGCATAACAGCTGGTGTATAAAAAAGTTTTGAAGAATTGGATCAATTTTTAATGTAAGGGCGATTTACTGTTATCTCATATTAATTTCTTTCATTCATCTTTCTTTCTCTGTCTTCATTTCATATCTGTATAAAATTCTGAAATTACTTGTCCATTCAATAAAATTCAGTAAAAGAGCATAATAAACTTTAGTATTAATGCTTGAAACTTTGTCAGTGGTTGAAATTTAATGAGGAAAGGAAATCTTAAAAATGTATCATTAAAATTTATGAACTTCTAAATGTAGTAAATTCTTTTTATATTATGGTTAATATCTTGAAATGCCACGACTTCCATCAGTACAATGAATTTAAATTATCTTAGTGAGGTAAATATGGGGCCGAGAGTTAAAGTATGAATATGTACTAAGATTATTGCTTGGAACTCTGCTGTTTATTTAATTTATTCGTGTGCTGTTTATTTAATTTATTCGTGGGGAAGAAGTGTGTAGAAAAAGAACATCATTCACGCATCTAGAATTACACACTTCTTTCATTTTCATGTAAATAAAATTAAAAAGAAATAAAAATATGTATGCTGCAAACCTGTAATCTGTATGTGACAGGGAGTTTATGTACAAATAGTATATAAATCAGTAATGGAAAAGTTAAATCACCCATATGAGTATCACCCAAAGCATGCTAAGAGCAGCAGTCCAAATTTAGGACAAACATGTAAAATAAAGTAAATTAATGATTTTGGACATGCGAAGACATTTTAAAATTGAACTCATTAAAAAAAAACAGATTGCCATTAAACTATTAATACCTACCAGTAGGAAGAAAATCATACATTATAAGAGGATTAGAAAAAGGAATTAAATGTCAAAATTAGGAATTAGACTCAAGCATTAAAAGATCATCCTAAAACAAATATTACATTCAAATTTTTAAATTGCTTGGTTTTAAAATTTTGTCTTGCACATATCCATTTTCTCTTACGAGTTTATAATTTTTCTTTGTTGCCATTCAAAGAGTAGTATTTTATAATTTCCTTAGCCAAGGCAAACATTAATATATATTTAATGATGACAGAATTGGGCAAAACTGCTGCCAATCATACTTTTTTTTTCCCTTTGTCTTTCTTAAATTCATTGCTATAATATGATGTGAAGCATTAACCCTGTGAGTGACATTGCCTTTTTGGATCTGCTTCTTAAGTACTGTATTTCAACAGCAAAGTATTAAATATGTATATATAATTCTTTTAGTCTTTGTTTTCATAAACTTTCATTCATTGAGATAATATTTAGATCATTAAAGTAAACAAAAACCCAAATTTTTTGTATGTATAACCATAATGACAAAATATATGTATATATATCCAAATAAAGGCAGTTAGGTATGCCACTTAGGAGTTTAAAAGCCACTGAGGTGTTAACATTTTATTTAATAATTTTTTTTCAGGGTCTTAAAGTTTTGTTGGAAAACCCATTAACATTACCCACTTTGCAAAGAGTTCTTCCAAAAGTGCAAGGTCTTTTTCATGATATTTCTGAGTCTGTAAGAATAGCATTCTGTAAATTACTGTTACGAGTCAAAAAGATATCTGCTATAAAGGTAAATTATAAATATTTTTTAGTTTTTGAAAACTGATTAAAGTATTAGTTTACGAAGCATTCTGAAATATATAAAATATTCAAACATTTCTGAGAACTATTTTGTTATTTTCAGTAAAATTTGATAGTGTGGTATTTGCTATCTCTTACGAAAATTTTTCTACCAAAAACCTTCTAACTGAGTAAATGTAAACACTTATTCTGTCTATATATGTGCAGGGTTTGTAGCGATCCTTACAAGTTCTTATAAGTCCTTATATTTGAAAATAAAATATAAAGACCCTTATAGGTGTTTACTTTTCCCCTAAAGCATTTATTTTTTGTTTTTTAGTACTTATTGTTTGCTTTTAGTGCTTTAAAAAAAAAAAAAAGAAAGAAAGAAAGAACGTGCATCTTTGCATCTTTTCCCCGTACCAAAGCTGAACTAAATAAACTCTTTTCTCCCTTATCTGGAATGCAGATGGTGAATCATACTCCCAGAAATAGCTATACGCCCCTTTCTCTGCATTAACGTAACCTTTGGTGTCTGCGAATACAGACAGGTGCACGTCGTTCTATTGGTCAAAGAATTGCAAAAGCCATAGAAAATTCTGGTACATTCTTTATTCTTTTCCTCCCACCCAAGACTACACATGTTTGAATTTCTCTCAAGATTTAAATAATTTGCATTCTCATTCCGCATGGTCAGATCATATTCTCGTTTATTATGATCGTTATGCTTATATTATGAGCATATGTATAAATATTTATATAATAATATAATTGCAGAAACGGCTGAAGATAGATAAATTTCCAAAAATGGTGTGTTTTTTCACAGATTAGCTTTCTAAGGAATAATATTCGGAATGGCTTAAATAAAAAGGAAAGTAATCGAATAGTCAAATAATTCATTATCTTTTGCCAATACATTATACAGTACGGAGGTTGGGAGTTTCTTTCTCCGCAAAATCTCTAATATTGAAACAGCGGTCTTTCTTTCTTTCTTTCTTTTTTTTTTTTTTTTTTTTTTTGTCACTGCTCAATCTGGATTGAATAGGACTAAAAGTTTTTGCGGTCTATCCAGCCTAAGCAAAGATTGATTACTATTCCAGAAATTTAATGCAGTCTGTTGAAAATTATAATCCAGAAACACCCCAGATTACTAAGTCTCTTTCTTTTCCTTTATTCCCCCCCCCCTTTATTTAGTTCTTTATTCTCCAAATACCAGCAGCTGTTGATTCCGATTGCGTAATATCACATGTGGAAAGAATTATGCCGCACGTATTGCGCAATAACGTTTTTGGTATTTTGCAGAGATAATTAATTTTGATGTTCAGTCCTGAGATTTGTTTTATGAACACTTAAAAGAGTTTACTGCACTTTCTAAGCAGAATATTTCTCAGTTCCGTTGGTCTATTTTTGTATGATGCACATATCGAAACGTCAAAATCATTTATTTGGCCGAGAAATCTAAAGAACGTCTACAATCTCCCTCACTCCTCTTTTTCCAGTTACTATCTGGAATATTTGGGAATTTCTGAGAATGCGGGTTAGTTAAGCTTTTACTGTTAAAGGATGACTGCATGAAGCAATTTCCCGTCTTCTGATTTCAGAAATGTGCCTCTTTTTTACTTAAATTACTTTGCTTGGAATATATGTTAAGGGAAAACTGTTATGCAATGAAAATTTAGAAAATGTTCAGAATTTTGATTTAAGTTAAATTATTTAAATATTAATATGAGTGGAAAAATAAATTGTATTTATTATTAGGTGCCAAATGAATACAATTAATATGGCTTATTATTTATTTTCTATATTTTCAATTGAAATATCATCATTAAATCTTGTAATAGAGTTTAGTTCTGCATAGTTTTTTTTTTTTTTTTTTTTTTTCCTCTCTCATTGTAAACTAATTCTGTAAATTGAACTGTCATTTAAAATTTAAAAAAAAAAAAAAAAAAAAGTTACTTGTTTTCCATTGTTGAGGTAATGCTCATTCTCTTAATAAATTTTGCATTGCTCATATTTTAAATTACAAGGTCTAATTTTTCTTTTAAGGTTATGCAGTTGTGTATAATGTAATTAGACAGGTGCTTATTTTTCCCTTAAAATGTGCTTGAAAAGTGCTTATAGGTGCTTACTTTTTTAACTAAAATGTGGCTATGAACCCTGTATGTGTGTGTTTGTTAAAAAAGTACAGTGTGAAAAGTAATAAGTTTGCATTAAATCCATCTAGATCTTAATAGAAATGTGCAAAAAACATTTAAAGATAATATTAAAATAGACTTTTATAAAAATAGATGGATGACAGTTGATTATGAAAGTTCATTTAATACTGCTCTGGGGTGGAAAAAAAGGTAAAAGTTGTGAAGAAAGACTAGTGAATTCTTTTTTGCTGTGACAGTATGTTATTTTCATATAAAATTTTATAGTACTTTTGTATCATAAAATATCAACATAAAATGTGGGCCACTGAGTAGAAGCATAATGTGCTAGCTGTGCAAAGCATCAGAAGCTAACCAAAAGGAACCCCATTTTCATTTCCATCAGTGACACTAGCATTTTCTTCTGTGATATAAACAATAAGTGAAGCCCAAAGACATATTTGTTTGGAATGGGATGTTGCTTATACTGATTTTCTTTTGTTGCCAGCAAGGAAAGAAGAAAAAATTAGATGAAGTTCAGTAAAAATAACAAATTGTATTCTTCCTTAAGTTTTCACTTGATTCAGTTTGTTTTTTGCAAGCTATTACAGTTATCTTATCAAAATTAAAATTTCAATTTTCTGTTATGTCGAAAGTGTAGCAAAAAGTGGTATTGCTGAAAAACTGGATAATACAAATATTGGTCTCAAAATTATGCAAGAAGTATGGCTTTGCAAAATCAACAGTATACAACATGAAAAAACATGATAGTTTCAATTTTTTGAGAATTCTGACATCCCACTTTGAAATAAATACAGTCAAAAGTCTTTAATCCGGACCTCAAAGCTACAAACTTTCTGCGCATACATGAACACGTAATGCGTTTACGCATGCACGTTTAATGTATGACGTACAGTATAAGCTAAGCTAAAATTATCTAATTATCTATTTCAGTTAATGTTGCAGATTGCGTTGTTCCTTAATCTTTGAATTGGATCCAGCTTATTATTTTTTGCAGAGTGTTAGAGCAATTTTATAAGTAAGCTTGAACTTTCGATTATGTCAAATAGAATTTCCGATTCTGGAGCTGCCAAAGGATCTACAAAGTGAAAGCATGTTTCGATGTCCATTAAACAAAAAGTGGAATTGCTGCAAAAAATAGATAAAGGATAATGGATTTGTTTCTCTAACCATTCCGAAATCTGTTTATCAGTTTCACGCTGCTCTGCTGGGAGGGAAACGTCGCAGCAGGCAATGAACTGGAAGTTGATCTGTCAGCACTATCCTCATCTTCAGGGCAGATGTTTTTATTTTATTCAGCTTATAATTCCTTACTAAATGTAATGTTTCATCTTGATGTACTCCGATATGATTTAAATCAGTTTCCTCGTCAATATAAATATCACGAATACGCATAAAACAGTTTTCTGGTTGCAATTTTCTAATCTCGACTATGCGTAATGTATGCTTTATGCATGCGCGCATTGAAAAAAATGTTTAATAAAGTAAACTTTTTTTTTTTTTTTTTTTGTGTGTGTGTGTGTTGTGTGTGTATAAATTTTGATACCCTTTAGATCACAGTTGCTCTTTATTTCATAAATTACGATTTCATATTTTTAATTGTATAATTTCTGCATGCCATCTTACCAGATTTAAACTGATGATCTATAATCCGGAATCGCTGAAGTCCCGACGAGTCTGGATTAAAGACGTTTGACTGTAACAGGAAAATCACTCAGTATGCTAAAAGTGATGTATGAATAGGTGAGACAGTGTCACAGTCAATATGTGCCATTCATAGGTCCAATGCTAATGGCTCAAGTCAATATATTTCATGGGAAAATGAACAAAAACTTAGTGCACAAATTCAACATGTTGGTTAACCAAATTTTAAAGTTGTCGTGATGCAAGGCACTCATAAACTTCAGTCAAAAATGCATTAGCAGATACTAGAGCTACTTAATGATTTGTAGATGAATTCATCAAACTCATTAACAGTGAAAAGTTATTTCCAGAACAATTGATATTGCTGCCGAAACTGGTCTTTTCTGACAATACGTACTCCGAAATACCTTGGTGATCTCTGCAGAAAAGCCTACAACTGGTATTAAAGTTTTCAAAGTAAGTCTAATGATTTTGATATGTAAAAATGCTGCAGGAATGCACAAATGCAAACTTTTCATAATTGGGAGAGGGGGAAGTAAATGAAATTGGGGATTTAAAGGAGTAAAGATTTTCCCTGTTATCAATTGCTCAAATAAAACAGCATGGATGACACAAACATTAATAAATGATTAGTTTGGAAAATCATTTCATACTGGAGGTTACACAGCATTTGAAATTTGTTGTTTTGCTGGTTAGTATAAATATTTTCCTGGGTACTCTTCTGTTATCAGGACCAGATTTGGAAATGTATGTATGCGTATTTAATATGTACACTGCACAAAGAAAAGGGGGCAACAGTTCTATATCTCCTGTTTTACTGTGCCGATTGACAAAATTCAAATTGCGTTTTTCATGCCTCGAGAGCGTGACTTATAAAATATATTAGATTTATGTATAGCACTATTCGAACATAGGTATTTTGACATGAAATTGGACTTTTTCTGAAATATTCTTTGCCCCCCCCATATTTCAATTCTATGACTCAAATTATGCCTAAATATTAAATTTTGTAAAATTTGGTGCGAAATTTACGAAGAAATTCAAAAATTTATAATGGTGCCCCCGTTTTTTGCCGAGAGTAGTTCACCTGACGAACTTCTTAATTAATATATGGCAGCCTATTTCCCTTTCCCTTTTTACATCGTTCGTGAGAGCAAAAAAGTCACAGTGTTCTTTCTTTCAAATAATGTTCTTTATATTATATTTTTATGTT